AAAAAAGACTGTTTCTTCAAGCAGACCTGAAAGCACCCTGTCCTGACAGTTGAGAGTACTGTATGTTTCAGAAGAACTGTCTGCTAGGAATATTAGCTTGAAAATGATCGGTTCACAACATGAGGAAGATTCCTTTGCAATCCCTTCCTTGGGCAGCTACCTTTCCGCTTATCTGTCACGTCATCCATTCACTCCCACCTACTCTAAACAAGACTAGATACATTCCCACACACACAGACCTCGAGAACCAGCTTTTCTGAAAGAAACAGACCTGTCCTTGAGAAAGATTTGAAACAGAGTTGTCATTAATACTAGTGCTGAACGTGACTGAGTTGTACAGTTCTTAGCTGGAAGCCAAACAAGAAATACATACTGCACCAACACGGAGCAGAAGAGCCCGAGACAAGTCGGAACATCTGACAAACCAAGCACTATTTTCTCCTGTGTGATGCTGAATCCACAACCGGCTCAGGTTGCAGTAAGGGTCCTTCAAGGGGCAATACAATACATCATGAATACTCTCAGACTTCAGAAACTAAGCAATGGCTGCGCTGCGCCTCCCATCAGTTTACTCAGCGCCACATTCCCGAAGTCCTCATGCACACACCCTGCAGGGTAAACATTAGGGATGCCTGGCTTTTTTTTTTTTTTGGACTTGCCAACTTGTTTCTTCCCCTCAAAGTCCTGTCTAAGCAAACTGCTGACTGGTGCACCTCGGCTCTGGACGGTTTGAAGCCGTAAGTCAGCTTTGGCTCCTGCTTTTGCGGGAAGGGCCGCACAGACAGGAAGGAAAAGAGAGGAGGACTTCTCCCCAGATTGCTCTCTGCCATCAGGAGCACTGCTAAGTGCCGCCCTGTCCCCTTTTCCACTACACAATACACATTTTATTTCCGTTTGGGGAGAAGCCAGACCCAGCTTCTACTTAATGTGATGCTCTCCATAAAACCTATACCTGTCTCATAGCTCTTCTGAAATGATTTAGGCATGGTCAGACCTACTCTAAACCTCCTGAAATTCAACGTAAAACCTGAGTTTCCAGGGAAATCTCTACGTGTCTTACAGCAAGCTGCACAAAGGCAAGGAGCCTCTGGGAACAGGAAGGGACTGCGATCCTGTTTCTATGTTACTGATGGCTCTTGAAAGAGCTCCCCAATAGTCTGTTTGATGCATGTCCTGGGAACTTACTCCTCCGCACCTCATCAAGATTTATCAGACAATGTTGCCCAAACACCACTGCGTTAGGCACCCCGAGGTATGTTCAAACACCTACACTACAACGTCAGGAGAAAGCAGCAGTGACACCCCTCCACCCTCTGGACGTGGACCCTACACGAAGGGGAAGCAGCACTGCTGACCTACTGATAGGATAGTTCCACAGTTTCTGCATCTGCCGTTGAAAAACAGAGACGGCTGAAAGGCTGTCCAATATTAATCTTCTCCCAAAGTAGGAAGTAAGTTTAAGAAGTAAGTGATGTTTCTTTCAACAGTGGCACAAAAATAGATGCAAGTAAAGATGACTTGACTGAAAGCCAGCTCGGGGTTGATTAGGATAACACTTGCAAGTTGTTAAGCAATACCACTAACCCAGCGCAGCGACAGCTCATTTTTATAATGCTCAGCTTTCATATTTGTCACTTGTACACTTAAAAGATGTACAGCAAGGCATCAGAGGGGGATTTCTGACAGCTGCGTTCCAGTCTATGGACTGTCACTGCTTACAGTTCAACATCTACTGTACAGCTGTCTTTATGAATCATTTAGAATGCAATAATTATGACTGAAAAGGCAGGGAATATTTACCTCTTTCACCTATAAACACACCATTCTACATAAGCAGAATCTCTCCTCTCTAATTAATGATGAGGGTGATGGATTAAGTGACTTCAAATACTGGATTACCATGTCTCATTTAAATGTCTATTAGAATATTGATTCTTGTTGTGCCTTTTTTAATATCCTTGTGGAAATACTGTAATTATGTTGCTTTTTATATTTACAGATAATTCTGCATTCTTAATTAGAGTGACAAATACACTATTAATAAGACAAAGGTGATGGTACCCATGCAGGTACTTTACAGCAAAAAAGCAGCACTACACCTCATTTCCCTCATAATGGCTCATGGCACTTACTGTAAAGAGGTTTCAGTAGTCTGTTGGATCAGAAGCTACAGAGGTTTAATTTCCTGTAAAGAGGTTTCAGTAGTCTGTTGGATCGGAAGCTACAGAGGTTTAAAAGACATTTCTAATTACTCCACCAGAACACACAGTTTCAGCAGGAATGAATGAAGACTTTTGCTAAATCTCCATAACAAAGCAAAAAATTACTCCGGATTTTTTTTGTTTTCAAATATGCATACTGACATGGCAATACATATGACTATCTAATATAACCAGAAATATTTAGGACATTGGAAAACCCAAGTGTCAGACAAATTAACTTTGAATTTAGTGGACTGGAATATAAGTTTCATTCCAGAGCAGATACACTTATTTGGAACAGTCTGTATAGTATTTCAAGTCTGTGGATATACTAACACAAAACCCCATGAACTACATACTAAGTTACCAAACCTTCAATTATAACTGCCAATGAGAAAAAGTGGGTTTGTTGCAGTTATTTATGCAAGGCTTTGTTTAGTGAATTAACAGTCCTCATCTACTAAACAATGTTTTCCTAAAACCGAAATCTTCTAAAATGAGAGCGTTCAGTGATTCTTGTTTACTGGAATTGTTGTCATTTAAGTCCATATGTCACCAAACAGAGAAGAGGTATCAGTCAAGGACACGTTTTTAAATTCCACAGTATTGGCGCTTTTTTTTTCCTCCTCCCTTTTAAACAACTGATCAAAAACTTAAGGATAAAGTAGATTAACTCTGCTTTTTCTTGTTTTGTTCCTTTGTGGCAGAAGCCTTCTAGAATTTCTGTAATCTCACAAAAGAGACACGCAATCAATTTCCAATAAAACTGCGCTAGTGTCCCCAAACATTACATACACTTTCATAATTCTTTTAAAATGTCTTATAATCAAATATTCTTCCAGGATCACGTAGAATATGCATAGTATAGTAACAGACACTGTATTTCTTTTACCAGGCTTTAAAGTAGAAATAGTGTTATATATTCAAGGTAACTTGTTTCTCAAAACCAAGAGCAAGAAGAGTAGTATTGCTTCTAGAACTTCTGTGCAGAAACCTCATTTCTTTATAACACGCACAGCACGTAGAATTCAATAAGTTGAATGTAAAAACAAAAGTAATTTCAAGTAGTCAAATGCAACAGAGTACTTCAAACTAAAAGTCCAGTACTGCATAGTATCATGCTGACAAAAAAGTGTCAAAAAGGTGAATTCATACTTGCAAGTTCCAAATGTTTTCATTTAAATTTGTGTGGTGGTAGCAGGGACATGTGCTTATGGGGTTTTTTTGTAGCCTAAATTGACTTAAAAGTTGTTAATGTTCAAATAAAATCTGTCATTCTAATATTTAATATTTTTCTTTACAAATCATCCAATTACATAGCAAAAAATGCAACCGATTAAAGGCATTTCACAAGATGTAATCAATTTTGAGAAAAAGACAACGCATACTTCAAAAACAATCTATGATCACTTTTCTGCAACTGACAGTATAGGTAAAATGGGTTGTTTTAGTCACGATATGCCAGATTCTTGCCTAATATTTGTTTAAAAATACAGCAATTCAATTACACAGGTTAAAAAAAAAAAAAGACCTATGACAACAAGCGATATCCTTTTTGTTTGGAAAAATATTTTTTTTTTTTTTTTTTTTAATATCATGCAGCTATTTATATGATTGGAAGGTCAAAGTGAAGTCTTCCAAATACCTTTTGAGCAAGGACTACCGTGTGACAAACCCATCACTGAACAGTATTTTCATTTTGAATTATTGCAAAGTTATCAACTCAACTGAACCATAATCCCCAAGTGCTTTTAAAAGGATGACAATGATTTATCCTGTGGACAAAAATGAGGATCAGTGGTTTAACATACATATGTATTTATGATGAGAGGAACAGCCTCAGACACAATTTTTGTCTATTGTTAACTGTAAACATGTTACAAAAGCAGCTGCGCTAGGTATAATTAATCTTGTTTCAATCCTATTAGAGATTCAAAGTATCATCCTTCTCCCATTTTCTGAACCTAAACTTCTGAAGAATAGGATGTTAATTTACAAGGAAAAACAAACACCTGTATTTCATGAATTTCTACTCCCTCTTCGTCTTGTGACTTTCCCATAGATTTATAGTCTTAACTGCATTCGGGAATCAACATTACAGTTTCTACAGGTTACTGTCAAGCTCATTGCAAGTACCAAATCACTGCTTGTGTCTTTTGGATGCACAGAAGCACACGATCTGTCCTGTGAATGCCTGCTCTGGAAATTAGCAGTTACGAACCCAAAAACTTGTAGCTTCTGTGAAGGTTCAGTTTTCATGAACTCCCCTTTAGTAAATTACATTGCTAAAAATATTTGGAGTGAGACGAGAATCTCTGCTCCGTCTGCATTTGAGACGTGATCCTAATGTTTTCATAGGGTAGAGAGAATCTGTCTCTTAAAACAATTGTTTCAGCCAGAGTTGGCAGTTTAAAAGCAAGCTTACAAGTAAGTATCTTTCACAAATGAAAAAACAATCAGAGAGCATCAATTCTCTTGTAGGTCAAATGACTTCTGATAAAAGAGGTTCTTAATATGTTTACTTCTGTTTTCTCTTCCACGTATCACAGACATTTTATATTAGTTTCGCTGAAGAAAACATACAAGACTCAGGCTTCGTTATGGCAAAGGTCAAACACTAAGATAACTGAAACTAATTCAGAAGCCACTAAAGCACTACAGAAACAAAGTACCTCAGATCCTGGCATTTTGTCTGTTTGACTTGGAAAAAGAATTTAGAAAGTACAGAGCAACATATGAGGCCAAATACTTCCAAAAGAAATCTATGACCTTCAAAGATAGCTTAGACTTGGCACTTACCCCTCAGAGCAGGCAGCAGAGACCTCTCTTTCTTGTCATCACATTTATTACATTCACTAAAGTATAGAAGTAAAAAGACGTCCACAAGCACCCACATGAGAGAAGTGGCTAGAACCACCTTGCAGTAAACAAATCTCCTCATTGCTTTACTTGGTTTCTAGCTCAAAAGCTGAGGAAAGACAGCAGTTGCTGAGATGTATCAAACTCCCACAGTTAAAATCCAACACGGAAGCAGAGACAAGCATCCCACTGCAAGCAAAGAAAAAGAATGTCTGAATTAGCTAACAAGTACACACAGTTTGAAGTGAAAAATTTATAGAAAAGTGCAGCGTGGAGATCTTTAAAGTAGCTGTTTCTTTCCATACATACAGGTACTTTCTGTTTTTTACCATCCTTCTATGAATATGAACCATTTTGACTTGCATACATCACGGACAGTCTACGTAACTTGCCTTCATTTAGAAACACACGTAATACACATATCCCTTTCGTTCAATGTAACACATTTTCATAAAGATTACACAAAAAGACAACAAAGCAGTGTCAACAGACAGTTCTGATACTCATCATTTTATTGAACATTAGACAGATATTATCACAAAGAATAAAACTGAATTTTAATTTTCCTCAAATAATGTGTTTATAATGCTATTTTAAATATGGCCTCTGAACACTAAAAGCAAATTAATTTTTATCTTGCAGAAAAATTCTGAACACCATCTCACTACCACCAAAAATGCCTTGTGAAGGAATGCTTCAGTCACCCACCTACATATTTAGGCTCTTGCCTGCAACAGTAAGTTTGGTCAAGAAAAGCTAAGTGTGAGGGCCTCCACATCTACTCTCAACGCAGATCTGTAAGTTAGATGACTGTATTTACAACCTTACGCTTACCATTATAAGCTGCGTTCCACGTCAAGACTGGGAGGTCTGCTTCGGCCATGCTTCCAAAGCACTACCTTAGCACTAAACCACTGGATAACTTTCCAGGTGCCTATAAAAGAAAACAAACAGAAGAAAGGCCTTACCACTTGAATGTCTTTTCTAGTACATAAAGAAGTTTCTTACAGTTAAAAAAAGCTCTCATAAGTTTTGCCTGTCTTTTCTAGTACATAAAGAAGTTTCTTATAGTTAAAAAAAGCTCTCATAAGTTTTGTCCGCATTTTAACCTACGTATCTTAATTAAATGTAATTTTATACATAACACTTTTCTATCTTAGTTCTGAAAAACCTTCAGCTTTTCAATCCAGCAGCACCACAACTGGTAACACTCCTGGTTTAACACACTCCTGGCCCGGCTTTCTTCACACATCGTTGCACTCTTCCCACACCACCTCACCCCGCCACATTACTTTCTGTTAAAATGGATTTCTGTCCCTCCCAGTGATCCCCCCAAGGAGCACAGCGTCACGTTGACTCCCACAGCACGCAGGGAGACGAGAACCAGACAACTGGTCCAGTTTATCTCCTTGTTCAAACAGCAGCATACCGGGTGAAACACAGTGCCGAGGGAGCTTCCCTAACAGGTCATTTTCAGTTTCGGTAGTTCCCACATATAAGAAGTTTACATTACGTTTTAATTACAGTTCATTTGAACCAATGAGATGGAAGAGATGGAATGATTTAAATACAGTTTTTCAAATTACTCTTGAAGAGCTATTTTACTATGTAATCATTAATAAAGTTTTCCATCTGTCTTAAGTATAAACACAACCAATAGGTCTGTTTTGTGCTGAAGCGATTCACAGCCAGTTGATTTAAAATTTCAAGGGCTCCGGAATCCTTGTCTCAGGTTAGCACAATCCATTTTCATGCCAGTCAACAGGAATAGTTTAATTATAGGAAGAAAATTACAAAGAAAAAACAAATTAACAGAGATTTTTATTAGAAAAAAGAGAGGAGAAAACAGCGGAAGTGTTAATTCTCCCCACGCAGTCTCTGTCACCATGGTGGCTGTAATTGGCTTTTGTAGCGTTGAGTACAATAGTTATTTGTTCAGCACCAGCTGAGATACAAAGGCACCTCCTCCCCAAACTCTTAATAATACAGAATTTTTTTCTTCATCGGTTCTTGTTTTAATATAAGCGAGTAAACCTCAGAAGTGCAGCAGTCATCAATGGGCGATTGGAAAAATCTTCCATTCCCAATGCTGTGGAGTTTTTAAACCCATAGTCTGTACAGGAACCACCGCAGTCTGCTACGATGCATTAGCCAGCTGCGCAGCTTTCGGGTGTTTGAATAAAGGCGGTGCAACAGGCTATTACAAAGCTAGCAGCAGTGACGGCAAACTCCTTTTTTACAATAGTTAACATTCAGATGCAATATTCCTCCCCTTGCTTAAAAAAATAAAACCCACTTTAACCTTTCAAAGTCCAGCTAATTCAGGGTACTTCCACGCCCAGGTATGCGCAGCATCTCTTTGCGGGGAACCGGCAGCGCAGCCTGCTGCGAAATGCCGTTGGCCTCAAGCTCTAACCATTAATCCAGTCCTGGGTTGCTTTGCTACAGATGTGAGGATTACTAGTGGCAAAGAACTAAGCCTCCTACTCTTCACGTCCTATAAATACCTTTTTTTTTTTTTTAGGAAGAAATTAAATAAAGTATTTCATTGCCCAGAGAAAAACCACCAGCAGATACTGTAACTTAGCAGCCCGTACAGTCCCAGCCAGTTACTCTGCAAATGTACACATAAATGCCTGTAGGAAACCTCACCTGTCGGTAAGTGTGAGGCAGCTGGGGAGGACTACATTTTTTTCTTGGAACGCAAGTTTCAAATTTGTGCTACAAGAGCTATCTATTTGGGGTGGGAGGGAGCTTTCAAAGACACATGGCGGAGGCTCAGTCCCACCGCTGAATCCGGTGGGTGCCTTGCTCCTTGGAGGAACCGGCTGGGAACACCACGTTTCGTTCATGTGGGATGAGGAATTAAGATCAAACGGTTGAAGAGGGACCACTTGTTTTCTGCATGGTGTTTTGGTGAAAGCCACCCTCCCTGCCGTAGGCAGGGCTGACCAGCTCAGCCCTTTCTCTGGGCATACATGAAGCCAGGTGGAAACCAGAACCGGGTACTATACCTGTAACAGTTCAGGTGCTGCTCAGTTTAAACTGCTCCCACTCATGCCCGAGAGCTCCCGGGCTCCACCTAACCTCCCCACAAATAATCCTCAAATTAGCTTCTACTTCAATTAGGGTTTATTTGAACAAATAAAATAAGTAAAAATCCATGCATATTGAATTCCAAATGGATACACATAGAATCATAGAATCATTGAGGTTGGAAAAGCCCTCTAAGATCATCGAGTCCACCCATCGACCCAACACCACCACCCACTAAACCATGTCCCTAAGCGCCTCATCTACTCGTCTTTTAAATACCTCCAGGGATGGGGACTCCACCACTT